GGTTCACCGCACCCTACACATAATACGTTCTCTGAACGTAGAATTTTCCGCTCTTTTCCAGGATCAAAAATATTGGTTCCTATTCAAAAAATCACTTTGACCTTGAAAATAAATCTCAAGGTCAAATCGGATTTCACAGAAAGGTTGCCCCCATTGTCACAAAGAACTATTGTCTGAACAATTTTTTTGTACAACGCCAACCGTTGAAAATTTCGGGGTGGTTCCTTTAAAATGGGACACCCTGTATAATAAATACACATAAGGAATACTTATCCCTTTTACTCATACTTTATTTCGACATATATGTTGACGAACATGGCGATTATAAACATCTGTAATGTTAAAAAATTACAATAGGTTTCCGTTGAACAGTGAGAAGAACAAGAATTAACAATTGAAAACTCTGTTTCAATGCCATCGTTTTATTTAAATAAGTCGACTTCATTTTAACATGAGCCGACGCATGATCACTTTATATATATCTAGCCCGAGAAAAAAATCACGATGTGTTTATAAAAGTTGATTCAAGTTTGTTCACCTTCCATATACAAAATATGAGGCGATAATATTTCTTAGATAATTATAAAAGTTATTGCAATTTGTTATTGTTTTTGTATTGTATATATTAGTTCGTTCCCTATAGTTATGAATATACATCCGACCATTATTTAAAATGATGTAGCAGGATAAAGTTTTACACGCATCATAATAGGACGTACAGTTTAAGTTAGAATTTGAAACACCGAAATCATGGTAAAAGACATGACAATTTTATTTCTAAAAACTTTCACATATCCGGAGCTCGAACTCACGACTTCTTACACAGAAGTCTAGACCTTGTTATAAATTGTTTATTATTTACAGAATATATAAGTATGCGTATAAATAACTATTTATATAATTTATATCGTCTTAATAATGTCTTCTTCAAAGAAAATACTACGAAGCTTTGCCGCGATGTGCGTAAGCAGGGCCCGTACTATAACCTTACACGTTTTCTCGCAAATCTCCGAAAATATTAAATGTAGATATCCGAAAATTGATAGACACGTACTTTGAACCATTATAAACAACTTTCTCGCTGACAGTTATAGATGAATACATGATTTATGGATGTTTTTTCAATAAAGAAAGTTTGTTCCGTGCTAAGCACCGATTGCATAGTTTCAGGGGTTATTTGGCTTGGCCCGAACGCTGATCCGGTTATTCGATCCGGCCCTTCAAATAAAACATGGTAAAAGTTATTTTGCCTAACAAAGTTTACTTTGAAATTACTTTAATATGACAAACACTGGGTGAATAGGTTAATTTATAAATTTTTAAAATATTATGATTATCGAAGATAATATCGAGGTCCGCAAAATATCAACAACGCCTACGTGCACTCTTAGATAACATCTCGAATAATTGGTATGATCGGCAGCTGTTTGATTGTATCTAATCGACCAAACCCTTGCGGATGTAAATTCCTTACTTATATTTATCGTTGCGAAATGAATTTCTCTACTCCAATTATGCCCGTAAAAGTTTCTCAGCTAAGATTTGTGTCTTTAAACCTACAATAAGAAACGATTTCTGTAAATATAACTGTTGTGTTAACAAATTTAGCATTTTGATTTGAGTAGTCATTCCATTCTAATCCTACTAACGCGTCTTTTAATTGATGCTTATGCGAAAACAAACGGATCAACCAGCAGACTCACCATATGGCCAAGGATTATCTTGTCGGAGCAAGGACACAAATAATAGTTAAGCAAATCTGGGGAGCGATGAGGCTTGTAGTAAATCTGCTAGTGAGAATTATTAATTTTTGTAAAATTTTAACCAAAGAAATACGAGAGTGAATCGCAATGCTCCAAATTAAATAAAACTACTCCATTATTTATAACATTTGCTGATTTATTTTTCAGCCTCATCAGGTCTTTCATTTCAAGAATTATCAATTCGTTATACAAACATAATGCAAAAACAATTTTTTACACATGAACTGATATACAACTATATATAACTAAAAAAGAAAAAATACATACCAACGCAATCTGAATAATTTTCACAATATAAAAAATTAACAGTTGCTATACGTCAAAAATTATTTGTAAATAATGTTATGTAAAATGAAAAATCTAGCCAAATTAGTAATCATAATATAATACACAGCAATCCAAAAACTATTATTTGAGACATCATATGAATTTAAATTGTCAAATTTTAGTTTACGAATACGTTGTGAAATCTCTGAATTAATAAAATCAAAAGGATAATTGTTATCAATTAACTGTATTTTTTTTACTATAGTTGTTTTCGAGCAAGCTTTAATGTTATTTTTTATATTGTGAAAATTATTCAGTAAACGTTGGTATGTTTTTTGTTTTTTAGTTATGTATTTGGTTACCATTTCATGTGTAAAAAAACTTTTTTTTATATTATATTTTGTGACGGGGGAATAAGTCGTATAAACGTGGAAAATATTGGTATAACATCTCTAGATGCAGAGCTAACCGCCACTCTGTTAAGCACGTATAGAGTATATATGATCTCACCTTTATGATTGATAGAATGTCCAGCCTCACGTATCTTTCCCAGTTGAACTCACCTTAAGTCATCTGACTTGCGATGCTTGTCTTCCGCATCATGTGTAGATGCTAATGTTTATCTGCTACAATCCCCTAAACTAAATCGTTCAAATATTTTCGGAAAACAAGTTTAATAAAAGTGAAGGTAAACATAGTATACATAACGGCGAGTTAAAACGATAATCCTTTTAATATAATTAGCACTTGATACACTGAAAACGAGCAAGAAGTCTTTCGTGCGCGAATAGGTTTACAAGCAATATCGGGGAAAGAGAGAAAAAGAAAACAAAACTAAATCAGCGCAAACTAATGTACGCTTCTGTTATTTACCCAGCAAATCGGTGTTAACCCTACTACGAGGGGAAGTCAATAAGTCTTTACAAAAAGAAGGAAAAAAAGTTTTGCGTACCTAATTTTTTTTTATTTTTCAACATAATCTCCTTGAAGGTCGATACATTTTATTAAATGGCCTTCCAGTTTTTTTAAGCCATAAAAAAAATTTGATTTCTGAAAACCCTCAAAATAGGCATTTGTTTCGGCGATGACTTCCTCATTCGACGTGAATCGTCGTCCGGCAAGCCATTTTTTGAGATTAGGAAAAAGAAAAAGTCACTGGGAGCCAAATCAGGCGAATATGGTGAATGGTCAATTAATGCGAACTTTAAATCGTTAATTTTTGGCATCGAAATTGCACACGTGTGAACTCGAGTATTGTCTTGAAGAAAAAGGCATTTTTTTTGTTCAAGTGAGGACGTTTTTCTCTGATTTTTTCTTTCAGCTAACCTAATAATGACGTATAATATTATCCAGTGATCGTCTGGCCCTTTTCCAAGTAGTCGATGTAGATGATTACATACGCATCCCAGAAAACCGGGGCCATAATCTTGCCAGCTGACTTTACTGTCTTTTCCTTTTTTTTGGGGCTGGTTCTCCTGCGGTAATCCATTATTTGGACTGTTCTTTGGTTTCAGGAGTGTAGTGGTGTACCCATGTTTCGTCTACAGTTACGAGTCGAAGCCAAAAGTCTTCCGGATTACGACGTATGCGTACCAAATGAGCCTCAGAGGTGACAACGCGGGTTCATTTGTTTTCAACAGTGAGCAAACGCGGCATCCATCTTGCTGATATTTTTTTCATCCCCAATTTTTCATGCAAAATTGAAATGATTGTACCCTTTAATACCCCTGTGGCCTCAACTAATTCCCGCAATTTTAATCTTCTAGCACTCAACACCATATCGTGGATTTTATTGACCATTTCGGGCGTACTCACTTCTACGGGGCGTTCTGAACGATGTTCATCTTTTGTTGTTTTACAGCCGCGTTTAAATTCATTTACCCAGTTATAAACAGTCTTAAACACAGGGGCAGACTTGCCATGAACGGCATTCAACTCAACTGTAATTTCTTTTGGTGTAAGGCCTTTCAAATGATAATGTTTTATCATCGCTCGAAACTCTGTTTTTTCCATTTTTCAAATAAACCAATAACTTTTTGTTCAACCAACGCTCACAAAAAAACGACTTAATGAATCGAGCTGAAACTTTGTACGATATCTAGTTAGTGATATTGCTTACCAAAAACATCATAATTTAAGCGAGACGAGCGCTATCTCTTGGATTTTGTAAAGACTTATTGACCCCCATTCGTATTGCGTTATGCTACTCAAAAATAGTGATGCAAATTAAGTAGATGCACCTACCTTTTGTTGAGGTTACGATGATCAGCCGTAACCGTTAAAGTCGATCGAAACTAGTGCTCTTGGACGCTCTTAGCGGCAATGCTGCTGTCGTCGTCTCATTTTTTAGAAGCTGCTGCCACTGACACCGCTGCCGATACAGCTACCTTATGCCGGCTGTTGTCATTTCTGTTGCTGTTGTAGTTGCTGCTACTTGTCGAGGAGGTTGTCACTCAGTACCTCACTCTCGGTTTGTTTCTTTTATGAGAATAAAAGATCGGCACTCAAAACTAACAATGTGTACTTGACACTGGCTCAGACGATACTACTTATAAATACCGCGCGCGCCCCCTCACTCTCTAATTAGTTAGCTCACGCGCCCCGATCACTACCGAATCGCGAACGGTTCGATACCTATAATTGATTACTGTTGTAATTTGTATAAGGAATTGATTATTCTTTAAATAAACGACCTGACGAGGCTGGAAGACAAACCAGCGAAACTTCGTAATAAATAATAGAGTAGTTTTATTTTATTTAAAGCATTGGAATTCTCTCTCGTATTTCTTTGGCTAGAATTTTACAAAATTTAATATGATCGAAAGTAACAATATGGTTGATTATTCAAGAATTGTTAATTATTTTCCACCCTATTATAGCACTTACGTACTTTTTTCTCAGATTAAGGATTAACAAATTTTTATAATTAAATTAATATAACATAAAGCTACTTTGATTAACAATATTTACTTGATAGTTTCCCAATCGATTTGCTCTTCTTGGTTTGATGATGGCTTCTGCAATTTATATTTTGCTACAATATCCGGGACATGACTCGATACCCAAGTTTTAGAAGGTTCTATTTCATTCCAAAGAATTAAAGATTTTGCAAGTATTCGAAGAAGAAGAAAATCAGGTCGCACAAAATCCAATAAATAATTCGTATCTGGAGCTGTCATCCAATCTGCAACAGGGCGATTACCAGTTTGAAGATACATCAAACCTAATGCTAATGTAGCTCCTGGACTTGTTATATCCACGTTAATTGAATCGCCTTCTTTTATTTGATAACTGAAAAGGAATACATTATTTATTGTAATATTTCAGTAATAAACATGTATTTTTGAAATATATATTTGAAATAAGACCCATTCTATACTTTTGCATAAACAAGTACGAAACGTATTATATATTATTAAAAGACTGACACAGTTATTAAATTTAATAACAAAATAAATGATATCTATGGAATGAATTACCAAATCAACGTCAACTAATATTTGCCATAAAAAAAATAAAGCATAGAATTTATGAATATTAAAATATTAATTTTTATCTTCAAACAAGTTCTAAATATTATAGCATTAAATGATAGCATTATAACATCTAAGAAACGGTGAGTAAAATATAAGAAAAAGAAAAAAAAAATAATAATGGTAATAACAGAAATTCAGTTGAGTTGAAAGAAAGCCGAGGAAAGGAGGCAATCTAATTTAACTTTAGATGGAAGGTAGCATTATTTCTCTTCTCCTAGCAATGTCTTTGATGACCTTGAACTCGTTAAGGCTTTAGTTATAATCGAACAAACCTTGGCAGCTAGTCTCAAATAGATAGGTGATCAAGCTTATGCCTTACCGCTGAACTACTGAGTTAAATAATGCACATTATCAATAAGATCACACACTTGCACGTAATATGATATACTAAAAGTCACACATTACGATATTGATTAGCGAAGTCAACAGTTTCGAATAAAATAAAAAAAGTATTTACAGATAGTAATTGGTTTTTTAAGTATATATAATTTCTTTGAAATCAATAAATTAGAATAAGGTGTATAGTAAGCATCAGAAATACAACTATAACTTTGATTTTCGACACGCGGATAGCGGTAAGACTACTTTCATGAAAGGCCCTAACCGACTATCTATATTGACTGAGCTTGAAGAAGAATAAACTATAACGTTATGTTTTAATATAGAGTGAAGTCTTCTCGTTAATTTACAGTTCTCACAACTTACTAGTAGCGAAATAAAGTCACATAAGCTGCTTTTTGATACTTTTCTAATGTTTTAACCTGTTAATCAAACTACATTTCTTAAAGATGTTTATTAATAATATTTTTTTTAATTTCCTAACAGATATGTATGTCTTAGTAACTATTAAGAAGTTCTAAAGCTGGATTTTTGACAATTTTCTTAAATAATTTAATATACGCAACTGACATGACAAACAATAAAATGCAGGTTAATTTTTGTTTGTTTGGATATTGATTTATTTGTTAGTTTGGTGCTAACCATCCCCAAATCAGCCCTGAAAATATTCAAAATAAAAAAAAATAATTTTTAATAGAGTGGAATTTGCTTTGTTCACATATGTTGGTCAAATAATTTACTCGTATTAGATTTTCTGAACAAAATATGAAATATGAGACTGTTTTTTTTACGCAAACTTTAAACGAAATATCAATACTTGTATAATCCTAAGATTTTAAAAAATTGCTCACTAGTATAAAAAATTTACCCTGTTATATGTTTTTAAAAGTACATTGATTTTTATAAAGAAATTTAAATAATACACATAAGCTAAACAGCAGCCGCAACCAACTCCGTAAGTTAATGCATGGGCAAGATGACTGTTTGAATTGCTTACGAGATCAATTATATTATTCAAATTTCAGCTCACAAATATAAGAATTCTTAGCGTAAATTATATTCCAAATTTATCAGTTAAAACTTTATTTGCAATATTTTTATCTTGTATATTTTCTCGATTTCTCGAGTACGGTATAACGTATGATTGCAAACTTTGTCGAGAAGATTAATTCTTGTATCACCATAAGCTAGACGTTTCTATGACATAATTCTTGGTTTTCAATATTGATAGCTTGAAATATGTAGCTCCGATGAAAGTTTCTTGGTGATATTGACAAATGCTTGTGCTTCCTTCGCTGTCTGTCACTTGTATATGACTATCACTTTATGGAGTTCATCATTTGACTAACGTTTAAAACTATAAAAACTGACATATATATATTGCAACGGTAGTCGATTTAATTAATCGAACCGTTCGCGATTTTGCTTCTCCCGCGTTAGTTCTATTAGTTAAGAGAGAGAGGGGGCGCGCGATCTTTTGAATAGGCAGTTACGCCTCAGCTGTTCACGCGAGTTTACCGCCGAATAGTGTTTTGCACTTTGTTTCGCCAAAAATAAAGTTTCTCTGGGAAAACTACGTGCGGGTGTGCAACGACGAAATTGCAGCAGCGACCAGCGATACAGAAGCAGCAGATTGCAGCTGATAGAGGCAGTACAAGGCAGCGCAGCTGATAATCGAGGGGCAGCGGCAGTTGATATTTTTGTAACAATAATTACGGCTGATCACCGTAATTGCACCGCATGGTAGGTGCACCTTACATCATTATAAGCGATACAAAATACATTCGGTATTTTGTCTATTCATGATAGCGTTATTTTTTGTATTCGCGTCGAGCGTTAGTTCGCGGTATAATTCGAATCTTCTCTCTCTCTCTTTCTCACCGAATATAACTAATTGTAAAATCCTATTCGCGTGCGTTAGTCTTTCAGCCCTACAAAGACTGTAGTGATTTTTATTAATAAAAGTCTGTTAAATTTATTAGTCGTTTTCATCATTGAATTTTCCTAGTAGCTTAAGTAATTGAAAAAGGTTTAGGTTTTTAATCCGATTACATCTAGGGGATTAAGAAGATTAGGAGTAAAGTCGCTCACACTTAAAACTCATCGAATGTCATAAGACACGTGACTTAAGGTGAGTTCAACTCCGTTTGATATAAGACAACTAGGATAAATCATCTGATGTAAAGGCGAATACACGTACTATCATACGTGTTTTACGGAGCGGCGGTTTGCTCTGCATCGTGGGAGTTTGTTCTTAAATAAATTTTCCATTTTTCAGATAACCTCCCCGTTACAATATATATATATATATATATATATATATATAGGTGTGTATGTGGAGGTTAGATTTCACTCGAGGGGAGTGTGGACGGGTCTTGGATGTGAGCGAGAGTTTTGGTGAAAAAGTTAAAGAGGAAAAGTGTTTGAGGAGAGAAATAGAGGTGAAAAGAGCGTGGAGGCGGAGGAGGAGTGAAGAAGAGAGAGAGAGAGGCCTGGACAAGAGCAGGAAAAAGCAGAGAGAGAAGAATAAAAAAAAAATAATAGTTGAGGTTAAGAGAGCAAATCAGAAAGCGGGAAAGGCAGGCAGAGAGGTGGTGCGGTAAGAAGTAAAGGCAGAAACGGAAAAGGTAAGACAGGGAATAAAGGTGGGATCACGGGTAGATATAGAGGGTCGAATTAAGGCGTACGGGATAGGATGGAAAGATTTGTGACAACAGAAAAATTAAAAGATAAAGGTGGAAGTTTGGATAAGAAAGGCCCAGAGGAGAAAAAGAAGAAAAAAGTAAAGGTGGTGAGGGGGAGAGAGAGCGGGAAGGGGCTGAGGGAGAATAATAGAGGAGAAATGAGAGAGGCAAAGAGATGCAAGAGTGAGAGCGAGGGAAGTGAGATGGATGGGGAGGGGGAGAAGGATTGGACAACACGATAAGAGAAGTGGGAAAAAGTAGTGGTGCAGAAGATATAATGGAAAAGATACGGACAGATATAAGGGCATTAAGAGAGGTATGGGAGGAGGAAAGGAAAGAATGGACAGAAATATTTAAAGAAATAATGGGAAAAATTGAAAGAATGAACTCAGAGGGGAAAAGAAGAGAAGAAAGATGGGAGAAGGAAATAGGAAAAGTTAGGAAAGTACAAGAGAGAGAGAGAAGAAAGAAAGAAAGAGACGAAAGAAGAAAGGGAAAAAGCAGAACGTAGAGAAAAGAATCTGCAGGAAAAATGGGGAGAGAGGATGGACTAGTTGGAAGAGGAGTGCGTGAAACTAAAAGAAAGCATAGAAGGAGGAAACAAGAAGCAAAGAGGAATAGAAGTAGGCAATAAGGAAAAATTAGAGCAAATGAGAGAAAAAATGGATAGAGAAAGTAGGATAAACAATATAATAGTGACAGAAAAATGGAAAGATATAAAAAATAGAGTGAAGAACGCAGTTGTAAAAAAGAAGATAAGGAAAAAAAAAGGATAAAAAAAAAGCTGGTGGAGAAAAGAATGTAAGGCAAAAAGGGATAGGGTGATGGCAGAGTTAAATAAGGTAAGAAAAGGGGAAGGAGACAGAGGCAAATACTTAGAAGCAAAGAGAGAATACAGAGAGGAAATAAGAAAAGCAAAAGAAGATGAGGGGAAAAGAGTGGCAGAAGAAATAAGAAAAGATAAGACGAGAAGAAAATTCTGGGATAAAGTGAATGGCAATAGGAAGATAAGAATTGGTTTAGATGAAAATATAGGAAAAGAAGAATGGATAAAGCACTTCAAGGAATAATTGGGAGAGAAAGAAAAGGAAGAAAGCAAAGGGGAAGAAACCGAAGACAGCGAAGGAGAGAAAGGTGAAGAAATAAAAGAAAGAGAAGTAAAAGAGGTAATAAGAAAAATGAAAAAGAAAAAGGTGACAGGAGAAGATGGTATAGCAAATGAAGCGTGGGTGGAAGGCACGGAAGGCTTGATAAAAGACATGACAAAATATTTAAACGGAATATGGAACGGAGATGGATACGGGATATAAAATATATGCGGAAATACTGAGGAAAAATCTGGAAAGAGAACTAGAAGCTAAAGAAACGCTAAGCGATACGCAGATGGGATTTAGGAAGAAAAGAGGAACAATTGACGCAATATATATATTAAAAACAATAATAGGGAAGGAAATAAGGGAAAAAGGAGGAAAACTGTTCGTATTCTTTGCAGACATGAAGGCCGCTTTTGATAAAATAAAGAGGAAGAAAATATGGGAAACAATGAAAGAGAAAGGGATAAATAGAAAAATTAGGAAAAGAATAGAAAAAATGTACGAGAAAACAGGGAGTAAGGTAAAAGTTGGAGGAGAAATAATTGGAGAGTTTGAGACTTACAAAGGCGTGAGGCAAGGGTGCCCTTTGAGCACCACGCTATTTAATCTTGCCTTCGCCGACCTGGAAGTGAAGATCA